TACTATACTATTATACTACTATACTACTACTATATACTACTATACTATTATACTATTACTACTATACTACTACTATACTACTATACTATACTATATATATTACTATACTATACTATACTATACTATACTACTACTACTATAATATATTATACTACTATACTATACTATACTACTACTACTACTATATACTACTATACTATACTATACTATTATACTACTACTACTACTACTACTATACTATACTACTACTACTACTATACTACTATACTACAACTACTACTACAGTACTACTATATACTATACTATTATACTATTACTACTATACTACTATACTATACTATATATACTACAATATTACACTATACTACTACTACTACTACTATATACTACTATACTATACTATACTACTACTACTATACTACTATAGTACTATACTATTATACTATTATACTATTACTACTATACTACTATACTATACTATATATACTACTATAGAACATTTTAATGGTAGTTTTTCCTTTGAAATCAAAGGTTCCGATTTGATAGATTAGGGTTTTGTCTACCTTTGGTAGAGACCATTTATTTAGTTCTTCTTCATTAAGAAGATATTCTATCAATTCAGCATTTTTAATATCTCGAAAAGAGGGTATTTTACCCTTATTGAGGATAGATGAAGAAGATGAAGATGCCATCTATATAAGACACAATTGGTTCGTTTTACTTCAAGACTTTGGAATTCTACTCAAAAAGAATTATTCTACTATTAAAAAAGAAATGTTAGCCATCGTAAAATCTATTACTAAATTTCAAGATGATTTACTTAATACTACTTTCGTGCTACGAATAGATTGTTCTTCTGCTAAATTTATTTTACAAAAGGATGTTCAAAATCTTGCTTCAAACAAATATTTGCTACATGGCAAGCTCAACTTGCTATTTTTTATTTTTCCATTGAATACATTAAAGGTAAAGATAATTCTTTACCCGATTTTCTAACTCGAGAATATCTTACAGGAACACCCACTCAACATGGAAAGTGAAGGGTGGCGCACCCCTAAAGGGCGCTCCATACCACCCGTCCCTAATCGAGGACGAGGCTGGCCCACTCTACGTGGTAATCCTCGCGGAAGAGGACGTGGCCAAAATGGCCGCGGTAGAGGAGAATTTCTTCCTCCAAAAATGATTCCTCTTAAAACTTATCTATATGGGGCAACTGAGCCCACGCAGCCAGAGAAACAATCAGAAAATATTCCATAAAAAGCACAATCAACTACTCAGCAAACTTCAGATATGTTTGAACCAATACTCAAACTGAGTGTTGAACATTTATTATATTTAAATAGTGAAGATAACGATATAACTTCACCTTGGATTATCTTTAAAAAATATCTAAACACTAATCCCCTTCTCCAAGACTCTAATTATGATAGAGAAACATACGAATCTATCCTTATTTATCTTCAATGCATCGAAGTTAAACATCACTATGATTATAAAAGAAATATTACCTACAGCCGAGCAAATATCCTCACTTTAATTCACCCAAAAGATTGGGGAATCACTCCATTCCAAATTCAAAAATTTGATATTTCACGCTCTGATGAAACTTTAAAAACCTGCTATTTTAATTATTGGACCTATGTGCAAGCTATGCACAAAGCTTTTTATGTTATAAATCCCACTCATTCCCATTCATGGATGTTCATCCTCAATCCTGAGATCCTCGAAAATCCAATTCCTTTATGGTTTTATAAAT